AAAATTACAAAAACATCCTACATTTCCTGGGTTTTCTCATCCACAACCAATGGAAAACTTCAGGAAATGTTTAAGTAGAATTTTACTTATTTACAAGTAGTCCTCAACTTAAAACAGTTCATTTAGTGGCCGTTCAAAGTTATAACAGAACTGAAAAAAGTGACTTTTGACCATTTTTCACACTTACAACCATTGCAGCATCCCCATGGTCAGAGGATCAACATTTGGATGCTTGGCAACTGGTTCATATTTATGATGGTCGCAGTGTTCCAAGGTCATGTGATTGATCACCTTTTGTGACCTGCTGACAACCAAGGTCAATGGGGAAGCCAGATTCATTTAACAACTGTTCTACTAACTTAACAACTGCAGGGATTCACTTAACAACTGTGGCAAGAAAGGCCATAAAATGGGGCAAAATTCACTTAACAACTGTTTTGCTTAGCAACAGAAATCTTGAGCTAAAGATTTGGTCTTAAGCTGAGGACTACCTGTAAATCATGCCATTTATGTGTCATTTCATTTGGGAGATGATTTCCAGAATCATTTGAAAACAAACATTGCATATAATAGAACTTACATAAATTTGTGTCTGAGTCTAGATGTAAAGATTCTCTGAACTCAGCTTATACTTCTGTTGACTTCATAGATTTATCTCGTCAACTAAAAAGATACTCCTTTGGTCTTTTTAGCTTCCAGAAAAAGGGAGTGGGGGAAAACAAGGCATTCCTTAAATGTCTAGATAATCAACCCTAAAGCCTAAAGTTGTCGGAGCATAAGAATGTTATTGGAGAGCATGATGGATGACTCTTGGAGTCCAATGTATCCCATTGGAGAAGTCACATCCACAGGGTGGGGGGAAGACCAGGGTCAAGGGGGAAATATATGATGTAATTTAATATCAGCTGCATCCAGCTTACGCCAACATTGTCACTCCTAATAAATCAATTTACTTTTCTCTGAGATGCGGCTAGAGACTTTTGATTTGAATGAGGGTGGATTTGTTGGAGCCCTGACATATCCATTCAGTTCTTCTGACAACACAATTACTTTGACACTGCCTTCTTCCAAGGCTTTTTCTCTTCCAGACTGGCCTATTGCTCTGGAATATCAACTTGAATGGTCAACTCCCAACCAAGGATCAATGAGGCCTACTCTATCTTGGCTGGGTCGGGGGAATTCAGGCAAGGCAAACTAGGTGCTATCTCCCTATTGAAACATATCCAATAGACATGCTAATCAGCCTGTCTAATCCTTTACCTTGATACTGGAGTAGTAGATCACTATTTGTCTTCAGATATCTGCTTATTGGGATTGCAAAGCTACCTTAGAACTTAGAATTTTGATTAGGTGGGGTCTAATCTAAATTCTAACTAAATTTTTCTCCAGTTCCATGAACAGGCAGTATTCTAAATAAGCATGTTTCTGGATGTTATTGATTTTCATATGAGCCTTAGGTGTCTAAGCCTTAGGTGTCGATAACTGTATTATTTTGTTGTTGAACTGCTATAATATTCCCCTACTGTTATTTTTGGTGGGATTTATTTTAATCTTGTGAATATAAAGAATATGGAAAGGATCAAATGATTCAACTACTTGTGAATAAAATATCAGTTATATGCCTGTCTACTAAGTGAACTCACTTGTATTCCTTTAAGAATAACTTCAGAAAATCTCTCAATTCTACAAATTCTGATTACCATGAATTGGAAATCATAAAATTCCATGTCTTCAAACACATATTTTAATTAAAATGAGTTTTAAAATCTAAGATAAATTTGGCTGTTTTCCTCATAATGTGAACCATATGAAGCTCATAACCTGAAACATGATCTTGAACAAAATCCAATACCAAATGACTTATTTCATAGAATTGATGAAAATAAGTATGAACAAGTATTAGACTTTAGATGTATTATAAAATATACATAAATATACTTGTTATACTTACTATCTTCTGTATAGTTCTTATCTCAGCACCCATTTCTCTTTCCATCTGCTATGTTACCTAGCTTATGCACATCCTCATTTAAAGGGACATGATTAGAAGAGCAGAGAAAGAAAAAACTTACCTCTGCCAGAAGCCAAAATCAAATGAAGCAATAGGAGACCAAGAGAGACCTTGAATTTTAATAAGTGTTCCCATACTTTCTCTGTGCATGTATAGCTCACTTTATGGGCTACCATCCTAAAAGGTGCAAGAAAAACAATTAGCCACATGTATAAATGATATTCATTGTATAAATAGGAAACAATTATATAGGCAGTCCTTGACTTACAATCATTTGTTTAATGACCATTCAAAGTTACAATGGCATTGAAAAAAGTGGCTTATGACCACTGGTGGGATTCAAATTTTTTTACTACTGGTTCTGTGGGTGTGGCTTGGTGGGCGTGGCAGGGGAAGGATACTGCAAAATCTTCAGTCAGAGGTGGTATTTGCTAGTTCTCTGAACTACTCAACATTTCCACTACTGGTTCTCCAGAACTGGACAGAACCTGCTGAATATCACTTCTGCTTATGACCATTTTTTACACTTAAGACCACTGCAGCATTCCCAAGGTCATATGATCAAAATTTGGATGCTTGGCAACTGGCATGTATTTATGACAGTTGCAGTCTCCCAGGGTCATGTGATCTCCTTTTGCAACTTTCTGACAAATGAAGTCAATGGAGAAACCAGATTCCCTTAACAGCTGTGTTACTAACTTAACAATTGCAGTGATTCACTTAACACTTAACAATTCACTTAAGATGGAGCAAAATTTCACTTAACGTCTTGTTTAGCAATGGAAATTTTGGGCTCAATTATCATCATAAGTTGAGGTGTTGAGTTTTCAGATTGTTTGATATCTGTTAACAGTGATTATGGCTCCTGGGAAAACCACCTATGTTTCATTATCCTGCTCCCTGTTACGAACCACTAGAACAACCTTATCAAACTTTGTCCAGTCACATTGTCAATTAATGCAAAGCAGCAGTAAACCCAACAATTTGGTTGATTCAATATCTGATACAAACTGATTCCATCAAACCCATGCGCACCAGCCACCAGGACATTTGTACACTGTTCCCTGCAGATTCTCTGTAACAGGTTCACTGACATTTGCTTCCCCCCACAAGGACCCAAACTGCAAGGAAGGCAACGAGTTCAAATATTTTTAATTAGTTTATCAAAAGATAAAATACAGAAATTCAAAGAAAAATGGAGATAATAGGAAAATAAGGGAGGAAAGGGGAAAGAAAGGGGAAAGAAAAAGAAAAGAATTGACTTCCAACTTCCAAAAAAAGAGATTAAACTAGAACAAAGACAAAAAGAACTGTGGATTTGATTTTGTGAAAAATGAATTGGAAATCTTGCTGTATGGTAACGATAAACATATCGCTAAGGTAAATTGTTATTGAAATTGAATTTGGAGGATGAATATGTAACACATTGTACAATTCAGTGGGCAAAGAACTTTGGATATAATATAATGCTTGAACAATGGGAGAATATGTGGATAAAAGGTTTAAAATTCACATTAAATTATAATTTAAAAGAAAACTTTTACAAGATGATATACCATTGGTATCTAACACTGAACAAATTGTCAAGAATGTATAAACGCATTTGAAATGAATATTTGAAATGTAAATGTAAAGAATAAACATTCTATAATTTATGATGGACATGTGACAAAGCGAAGAATTATTGGAGTAGGATTCACAATGCTGATGCCCCAGAGCTATGGAACTTTGATTGTTTCATGATGGAGCTCTGCCGCCGGTTTGAGGACCCCCTAGCAGATTGGAAGGCCCGTGATTACATCAGAATTGTGAAGCAAGGCCGCCAGCAGGTGGCCGAGTACACCGAGGAATTCTGAGATTTTGCTTGCCAGGTAGACGAGCCAGAAGACATCCTAGTAAGCTGGTTCAAAGATGGGCTGAAGGATTACCTCTACCATGCCTGCCTAAGCTAACAGGCATAGAACAGAAATGGGCTAAGAAGGCTTATGCCATTTGATGGGCTCTTCTCACATGGAGGCATTTCTTGGAAGGGAACAAAATCTCCTTCCAAGTCTGGATCGACCACAAAAATCTGGAAGCCCTTAAGACCCCATGGAAACTATCTCCAAAGCAAGTGTCCTGGGTCCAGTATTTCAAACATTTTTACTTCACCGTCAAGTACCTTCTTGGGGGGAAGAACTTCCTAGCAGATGCTTTATCTAGAATGCCCCAATATAATGGCAACAAATCAGAGGTGGTCAAACCTCTTCTCCTAGCTTCCAGCTGGAAGCCAAAGTCATGATCAGGATGCAAACAAAACTAGATCTCCCAACTGACAATGCCACCATGCAAGTGTTCAAACAAAAACCTTCTCACAGACAACTGGTTCTAGTTGAAAGACAGCCTGGCTTGGATGGGAGGAAAGTTGTATGTCCCAGCAAGCCAAAGACTTAGCCTCATGAAAACCTGCTACAATTCAAAGTTGGCTGGCCAATTTGGATTTGTGAAAATGCTGCTCTTAATAAAGAGGCAGTTCTGGTCATCCCTAAAGAAAGATATAGAAGGCTATGTGGCTGCTTGCCCTGTCTGTGCAGCCGCAAAGAGAAGGCAGGAAAAAACCCTAGGGCTGGTTTTGTAAGTAGCCTGGTGCCATGCCACATAGGACTTTATAGATGATAACCTTGATCAGTTTGGATGGATTTTTATGGATTTCATTGTAGAACTATCAGAAAGTGCAGGGAACACTGTCATTTTGGTCACAACAGACCTATTCTCCAAGCAGGTCCATTTCATTCCCTGCCAAAAGATCCCCACTGCCAAAGCCTTTGCCAAGATGTTCCTGCACCACATATACTGATTGCATGGTGTCCCCCAAAGGATTATATCTGATGGGGGGGTCCAATTCACATCAAAATTCTGGAGAGCTTTCCTAAACCTTCTGGGTACCAATCAGAGCCTGAGTTCTAGTCATCATCCTCAAATGAATGGGAAGATAGAATGAATGAATGGGGTTCTAGAACAGTACCTAAGGTGCTTCATCAACTACCAACAGGATAACTGGATTGATGTTTTCCTTTTGCAGAGGTTGCTTACAACAACTCAGTGCATTAGAGCAGGGGTCTCAAACCTTTTGTACATCAGAGACCACCAAATTCATAATTTTAAATCCCATGGACCACTAATATGAATCCAGCATGCCACTCGCTGAAGTGCCTGGACTCCCACTGATGGGATGGGGTCCTTCAGGCACTTAGCTTGGCTGCCTGTTTCTGCAACCTTAAATACTCAAAGAGTCATTTGGACCCAATTCCCACAGAAAACAAAACACCGGGGCCTCTCATTTCTCTCTCTCTCTCTCATCTCTCTTTCCCTCCCCCTCTCTTTCTCCCTTTCTCCTTCTTTCTCTTTCTCTCTCTCTCTTTCTCCCCCTCTCTCTGTCCCCAGGGGTGTGGGTGGGGGGAAAGAAACCTCTGAACTGGTGCTGGGTGGTGGGAATCTGATGCTTATGAGTAACCATTTTAACCTAATGGAATTGAGTGGGAATCCTCAGATCCTGCTTTTTCTTGCTATCCCTTTCTCACAATAAAAGTTTCCTTTTGAAATAACATTCGTTTCAAGAGTTCTACTTTCTTGAGCAGAGACGAGGCAAGTCCTTGCATAGAGGCTACTACCCATGACAGACCACATGCCTCAATTTTTGGATAAAACACACAAAAACAATAGTTACCAATTTCATTTGTGATTTAATTCAAAAGAAAGCAAATTTCTTTATCTTGGCCCTATCCAGTTTTTGACATGTGCCTCCTCCAACAGACCTTCCGAATATGTTTTGCCTGGAAAAAAAGTCATGCACCCTCATCTTAGATCATTTTTATTTTTATATTTATTGTGCCCAACCAGCACAATTAATTTTATTCCTCAAACTTGGAGACAGAATTACTACCTAATCAATCTTAATGCAACCTGATATTTAATATCTATCCATTTTGTCTATAGCTCACAATTAATGTTTTTTAAAAAAGCTTAATCTATGCACCAGAGAACTTTTGCTTTCTCCAGGAAGTAACCGATCTCAGTATTTTGTACATAAAAGCAGTTCATATTTCCACTTCAAAACCACAAAACTAGTCACTTTATAGCACTGAACATTCCAGAATTTCCTAGAACTCAGAGCCACTTAAGGCATCAGGGAAATGCTATTAAATTTCGGATGCCAGGGAATCATGCAGTAGGATCAATAGTGGAGTGGCAGAAGAAGTAATGGAGGAGTGTACATTTCATACCACTCTTAAGAGAAACGAAATAAGTTAATCCTTTCCATCAGCAATAACAGTTCTTTAAGCCGCTGTCTAAAAACACAGATAGCATTTGTCTCTTGTATGTTCTAGTAGGATATTGTAGGAAATGGTGTTATGGTTATGAGTCAGTTCTGCTGTTTTTCAGCCTGCTTTTTTTTAACAGGACATATAAAGTATTGATTCTGACCTAATTATTTTAAGTAAAATTTGCATTATCGATTTCTTACCAAAGAATAATATTTTTACTGAAGAAGCATGCACATATAGATCATTCTTAAGCACTTGTTTTAAACCTTCAATCCATGGCAGTCAACCAAGTGGTGCTGTGGTTGAGGTGGTGCATCCATCCTTTCTTTCCTTGACTTCTCAGTGGCCTTCAATACCATCAACCATGGTATTGGGCTGACTTAGGGAGCTGAGAATGGGCAGCACAGTTCGTGCTGGTTCACCACATTCCTTCGAGGCCAATCTCAATTGGTATTAATAGCGAGCAAGAAGTCCAGCTCTCCACCCTTCTTTGTGAGGTGCCTTAGGGTTCAGTACTCTCTCTGCTCCTTTTTAACATCCACATGAAACTGCTGGGTGACATCATAGATCATGATGTGATGTGTCACCAATACATTGATGATAGCCAGCTATATATCTCCATCCCAGGTGAAGTGAATGATGTGATGGATGTCCTTTCATGGTGTTTCATGCTCTGGAGGTCTGGGTGGGGAGCAACAGATTTCAACTGAACCCTAATAAGATGGAGTGGCTGTGGGTGGGCCCCTCTGTATCCAGGAGTTCTTCAGGTTTGAATGGGATTGCACCTCCCTAGACAGTCCCAGTGAATAACTTGGGGGTTCTCTTGGACTCATGGCTCCTGCTCGAAAAGCAGGTGGCAGCTGTGGCCAGGAGGCTTTTTCCCAACTCGATATTATATGGTAATTATTTCCCTTTCTGGACAGCTCTTTGCTTGGTCACCCATGTCTTAATCATCTCCCAACTGGCCAATTGCAATAGGCTCTACATGGGGCCACCCTTGAAAAGTATACAGAAGCTTTAGATCCAGAATGCAGCCCACAAGCCATATTGGGTGCCCAAAGAAGGACACATATAATACCCTTATTCTGCAGACTGCCTCAGGTGGCAGTTTGCTTCCAGATCCAATTGAAGGTGTTGGTTATCAACTATGAAGCCCTACATGGCATGGCACCAGGCTACTTATAAAACCAGCATCACCCCTCACATCAGCCCCACATCAGCTGATGTGAGGGGGGTGACACTGGTTCTGAAAGTAGCCTGGTGCCATGCCATGCCATGTAGGGCTTTATAGATGATAACCTTGATCAGGCAGGGAAGATATGCTGCAGGGGCCATCAGTCAAAGAATTTTGACTAGCTTCACTAGTGGGGTCTAGGAAGAGGTTTCTCTGCCACCATCCTTGCATTATGGAACATTCTGCCCCTAGAGGTGAGGCGGGCCCCCACTCTCCTGGTTTTCCATAAAGAGGTCAAAATTTGGCTCTGCAGCCTTGCACTGGGGGGGGGGGGCACAGAAGACCATGGGCTTGCTGGCTCCATGAGAACCTACCCAGTGGTGGGATTCAATTTTTCTATTACCAGTTCTGTGGGCGTGGCTTGGTGGGCGTGGCAGGGGAAGGATCCCGTAAAATCTCCAGTCAGAAGTGGTATTTGCTGGTTCTCTGAACTACTCAAAATTTCCGCTATCGATTCTCCAGAAAGGGTCAGAACCTGCTGAATGCCACCTCTGAACCTACCCCACTTGTATTAACTATTTTTTTTACCTTTCTGAAATTTTATACTCATAATAATACTGTCTTATAATTAAATAATAATCTTAAATTAATTTTAATATTTTAATGTTAATTTTATACATTATTTTATATGTTGATTATATTGCACACTGCCCAGAATCCCTCTTTGAGGGAGATGAGTAGTTTAGAAACATGAAATATAAATAGATAAATGTGAGTAATCCAAACAAACATAGATCTAGTTCAGGATACCCCAAAGCATTTGGGCTTTTCTTCCTCAAAAGGCATTTTTAACTTGTCCTAGTATACACAAACAACACTGCACTACAAATTATTTTGAAATAGAAAGTTTCAACAATAACATCTTCATGTTGTCCTAATCTGTGATAGCCAGTCAGCCCCTGAATGAGACTAGAACTTAAAAGTGGATCATGTTAACAATATAGTACGTACAGTAACATAATCTAAAATAAATGATGTAAACAAAGCAGACTCTTTGCCTAGTATTAAACTAAAAATTATTCATCAATTGACAATGTTTGAGACTGCCGGAAGAGCGATAACAGGTCCATGACAAAGTTCTGGCTCTTGCCAGAATGGAATGACTCACCGCAGCCAACTCACCACAGGACAACTTGTTGTGGCACTATTCAACAATACAATTTAATCATTTCAAATAATTTTTAAAATAATCATTCACATTTCATTTGTCCATCCATTGGCATTCTTTCTTTACTGAGTCTATTTCATTATTTCTTTTATAATACTGTACCTCTTCTCCCGTGGCGAGTTGTCCTGCAGCAAGTTGGCTGCAGTGAGTTGGCCATGGTGAGTTGGCTGTGGTGAGTTGTCCCATTCTGGCAAGAGCTAGAATTTTGTCATGGACCCACTATCGCTCTTCTGGCAGTCTCAAATATTGTTAATTGATGCTATTGTTGTGTATTGTTGATGTTGTCTCTCCCAATTCTTCTGGGTCTGCCTCATGTTCTTTGACTTTCTCTTCTTTTTGTACATGCCTTGTACTCTATGGAATCCCAAGACATCTTCTCCAGGTAAGCAAACAACTTTATTTGCTGGTTTTATTGGGTTTTATATTGGGTTCCATGCCAATTCTTTCTCTTATGATCTCAATACTTTCTATGCTTAGCAGTCAAAGGGCTTCCAAATTTCTAATCTGGTAGACAAATGCCTCAGCTTCTACTTATTTTTTTAAGTTTGTCAAAAGAAAGAAGTTATCATGGGAATATACAACCCTGGAAAAGTTTATGTCACTTTAAAATTTGTATTAATTCAAAATGAAGCAACTTCTTTGATAAAATGTTCAAGAATTTGTTTTTTTCCAAGATATGCTAACAAAGGAAGCTACTTCTTACTGAAATGACTGTAAGTGTACTTATTCCCAGTCCACATAATAGAAGGATTATATAGATTTCTATCAACTGCAAAAGCAAAATATGGTGTTTAGACTCATTCCTAAAATTATGAATGCAGAACTGATTGTATCCAACCCAGAGCATGTCACATCATAGCTCATGGAATATCTTTACCTGCTCTTTTATAACAACGTATACCTAAAATACACTGATACTCTGACAGTTGAAGTCCCCCCATTTTCCAATTACTAAACTGACATTTGGTCCAAGACATTTTATGATAGTTACAATGGTGGAATTGAGTCCCAAACAGTCCCTCGAGCTAAGCACCCACCTTTCTCTCCTTTGAATTGCTGCTAACAACTAAAATGCCAAATGAACTATAAAAAACCAACCGAAGTACAAAGTCCACACAGAGCTTCAAGGATTAATCTGAACAGAACAAACGACTTTTCTTCCTACAAAGGTTTCTTTACCTTTGCATGTCCTTTATACTTTATGGGAGGGGCAATCCCCTCCAAGCCTTACTCCCGAGTCACCTCTTTTGTCTCAGCTGCTCTTGCCTTCTAGCAGCTCTGCACACACATGCACTGGGAACAGGCTCCCCTTGTTCCTCTGCCTCGCTGCTGCCAGACTCCAGAGGCTCCAGAGTCAGCTCCCTACTCCCAGATGGTCCTGGCCCCATCTCTGCATCAGATGCAGGACCCTCGTCCGAGTCCTCTCCAGACTCCCGGACTGGTCCCTGTTCTTCCCCACTGTCCGATTCTGCTGCCATCTGCATAGGCTGCCGGTGAACCACAACACTTATGTACTGTATTCTATACAGCATAGAATACAAAAATACATTAACTATGACAAAAATGTGAACAAATGGAAGAGGCAAAAAAATGAAATAATCCAGTAATTTCAACTTTAATATCTCCTCTGATGCATCTCCGTGTTCTCCATTAGTCATCCACTTTGGACAATATTGTTATATACTGTCTTTGATAATCTCCTGAGCTAGTATTTACTTGTCATTCTTCTGGTATAATTCTCCATTGGGCAATTGTTTCAGATCCTTCACCATTCTATGTTCCAAACTGTTTGGCCTCTCATCCTCCTTCCGTGTTTTGCAGTCCATCAATCAAGTGGTTCCCTCCCCCCCAAGTCTTTCTTGTTTCTCCTCTCTTCTTTGGTTACATTTATGATTTCCATTTATGTTGGTTTTCATCTTAATAGAACAGAATGAGCTGGAAGGGACCTTGGAGGTCTTCTAGTCCAGCCCCTGCTCAAGCAGGAGAACTTATACCATTTCAGATAAGCGACTTTCTAGTCCAGGGGTGTCAAACTCGCGTCATCACGTTGTTGTCACATGACATATTGTGACTTTCCCCCCTTTACTAAAATTGGGTGGGCATGGCCAGCATGTAATTCATCCAGCCCACAGGCCGCGAGTTTAACACCCTTGGTCTAGTCCCTTGAAAACATCCGGTGAGATGGAGTGCCCATGATTTCTGAAGGCAGCTGTTCCACTGGTTAATTATCCTCACTGTTAGGAAGTTTCTCCTTAATTCTAGGTTGCTTCTCTCTTTGATCAGTTTCCAACCACTGTTTCTTGTCCTGCCCTCTGGTGCTTTGGAAAATAATTTGACCCCCCTTTTCTTTGTGGCAGCCTCTCAAATACTGGAATACTGCTATTATTTCATCCCTAATTCTTCTTTTCTGTACGCTAGCCAAAACCAAATCCTGCAGCTGTTCTTCATATATTTTAGTCTTCAGGCCTTTGATCACCTTAGTTGCTCTTCTCTGAACTTTTTCCAAAGTCTAAAATGCTTCCGTCTTGCAATATATGAAAAAATTAAAGTCTAACTAACATTGTGGATATTAAAGTTCCTGGGCTAAGTTTTTATATTAGTTAATTTTTGTTTGATAATCTGTAAGTATATATCTTCTTACAGGACACAAAACAATTTAGATGTTTATTCCCTAATAACCAGTTCCTTTAATTATTTCCACTTATTGATCTAAAATCTGGTGACAAAACTGCTGGTTGGCTCTTGCCTATTATAGATTCCTGCCATCCACTTGATTAAATAGCACTATTAAAGAAAACCATGAAATAATTTTTATGTCCAATATTCTTCCCACTCTTTATTATTCTCAAGATTTCTTTCCTTTCTTAATAATAAATCTTAACAATAGAATGTTTTCTCTCCATCTTCTCCTTTAATATGTCACCAGCCCTTTGGTGAGCTGACAACAGTGTTCATAGATTCTGACCCTACCCAACTATAAATGTCGTCATCATCTTCACTTTTCATTACCTAATGATTATATGCTGATTCGTTTCCTATTATGGCCACACACACAATATTATCCACTACTCTGAAAAAATAATCCATTAGACACACCCCTTTTCATTAATTGTCCAATTTTCCTTTCAGTTTCTTAACTCTGGGTTGCTAAGGATTGCTGCTTATGATCTCTTCAAATCCTCTCTACTCATTCACAAATATCAATGACAGTTAAATTCTGTGCTCTAACCTTATACATTTGATGTCGGTAGAACTTTTTTTTTAATACTTGGCTTGGAAATCTGGAAATTATGTCTCAAATTGAGAGGAAACAAGATTGATGAATGTTGCTTTACCATCTACATTACTAGAACCTTACTTCCTTGAGTCTACATTACTATAACCTTTCTTCCTCTGATGTCACAGTTCGGCAACACACTCTTCTTTTCAGAAGAATCTTGTGAAAATATATTTTATTCTTAATTATTTACATTGACTTTCTGCCAATTCTCAAATGCCGCACAATACTTCTAAGCCCTTATCCCTCTATGGTCATATCGTAAATAAAGACCTTTGTAATATAGCCTTGATAAAGACCTTTGATAAAAACCTTTGCTTTACCAGCTTCATCCTTGTTGTCTAGTTTGTGTTTTCTCAAATAACTCCATTCTTTTTCTTTTACTTAGTCTTCCAAGATACCTGCATGATGCCATTTATTTTTCCTCCAAATAGTTTTACCATTATGGTTTTGCAGCAGTCCAGTAATTCCTCTATCCTGAGGTAGGAAGGAGTAATTATGCTGGTGGAAATTTAAATCCAGAATCTGAAAGCTAACAGATTCTCCAATCAACCCCTAAAATACAGGTGTACTTTAGTATTAAGGATTTTAAATATTAAATAATTAAATGGAATAAAAGTATTTTATTTGCAGGAAACTTTCCAGCTAAGTTGCTGAGTGGTTTTGACAAGGAACCTTACAGCTGAAGAAATCTGCTCAAGCTACAAAAGATATTAACAGAATGATAGAAAGAACGTAATGGTATTCTTACTAGTCTACATAAAATGCTACATATCAAATTAAAATAAGAGTGCAAAGGAGAAAAGTAGCATGCTACCCATTTAACCAAATTTCCAAAGCTTAAATTTGGGAATTAATCTACTGCCATGGTGGAAAGGGGCAAATTAAAAAATGTCTTCAGTTCACCCTTTTATATTAAAAATAAATAAATAATATTTTCATTTTAGACCATTCCATGACATTTTTGATGTTTAGAAATGAATAAGCAAAAATTTCATATCAAGTCAACTATGGCAATTCAAACCTTGCCATAAAAGTAATAATAGATATATAAGTGTGTTGGGTATAACATTGATACACCAACTAAGTTTGGGTGAATAAGTATATAAAACCAAGGTTTGGGTGTTTGTAACTTGTAGCTTTAAGCACCAAACTGCTTGTAATTAACTAATTAAGGGTGCGGTTACAAACGGCAATAAAAGGCAGTAAGAGAAACGTAACCTTTCTCTGCTTGTTTTGTCTGCTTGCTACTGTTTGTTTGCTACTGTTTGCTACAACTGTTTGAATACCTGAACGAAAGGACTATTTCATTGATGTGCTGATATCCTGTGAATACTCAGCGTTGTCTTCAAAAGGAAAGGTATCAGAGGAGAAGATATCTTTACAAGCAGATAAGGATATAGAACTGACTAGTGAATGAACTAAGTTACTGAATGGATATATTTGTGAATGACATATGGACTGATTGACAATGTTTAAACTCTAATTGGATTAAACAACTATTTAAACTACAAAAACAGTGTTTGTCATCAGTGTGTGTAAACTCTAGGGCCCTTCCTCTCTCATTTG